GAAAAAATGAAATAGGACGAAATCAGAGAGGGAGACAAACCATAATGGACTCTTAATTGTAGGAAACAAACAGGGTTGCTGGAGGGGAAGAAGGTGAGGGGATGGGGTAACTGGGTGACAGGCATTAAGGAGGGCACGTGATGGAATCAGCACTGGGTGTTATAGGCAACTGACGAATCACTGACCTCTACCTCTGAAACTAATAATATGTTATATGTTAATTAATTGAATTTAAATTTTTTAAAACACTCAGAAGATGGGGCACCTGGGTGACTTAGTCGGTTAAGCATCCAACTCTTGCTCTCAGCTCAGGTCTCAATCTCAGGGTAATGAGTTCAAGACATGTGTTGGGCTCCACGGTGGGCATGGAGCCTACATTAAAAACAAAACAAAATGAAACAAAAGAAAAAGCTACGACCCTCAGAAGACAGCACTGGACTCAAATTGCCCGACTCCAGTTGGTTGGAGCTAAGTTAATGCTTCCACATTTAGATAGGAGACAGGCTTTCTGCACTCCACAGACACAGTCCCCCTCCCATGATCTCATCCCCAACTCATTTATGTTATGTGCCCGGCCCCTGAAGACATCGACACTTCCACTTGCAAATCCTGCTCTGTGCCCTGTTGGTCCAATCTGATTCAACTTCTTTCAATAAAGGGAAATCATGTTTTAACAGAAATTGTTATGTTTTTAGTGGTTGAAAATTACTTAGGGGATCCCTCTAGAAGCAAGCAGATCTACAATTAAATGGTCTCATCTCAACAACACGAAGTAGAGCACCATGTTTCTAAGTGAGTTCTACTTGTTAGTTTTAATGATTAACACCTATAGGGAAACAAAATTCATTTAGGGTGACTCTTCAAAGAACCCAATACCATTTTGCATAATAACAAAATTATAACCTATCTAGGAATAAATATAACTGAAAAGATATTTAAAGAGAAAATCATAAAGCTATCAAATGACATAAATAATGCCAAAATAACTCAAAGATATTTGATATTCTTGGAAGGGAATATTTTATTTTTTTAGATTTTAGATTTTATTTTATTTTTTATATCTTTTATTTTTAAAAGATTTTATTTATTTATTTGAAAAAGAGAGAATGTGAACGAGTTTGGGGAGAGGCAGAGGGAGGAGAGAGAATCTCGAGCAGACTCTTCATTTAGTGTAGAACCCAACACGGGCCTCGATCTCACAACCCTGAGATTATGACCTGAGCCAAAATCAAGAATCAGCTGCTTAACTGACTGAGCCACCCAGGTGCCCAGGGAATAATTATTAGTGGAACAATTTTTGAGCCATTTTTGCTCATTTTGCAGGTCAAAAATATTGGCAATTTTATTTGTTTCAACCTAAAAATAAATATGACAATTTCCCCCAGATTAGTACATAAATTCAATAACATTCCTATCTATATCCCAACAGTGCTTCTCACAGAATTTGACAAGCTAAATCTGAAATCCTTATGGACATATACAGGGCCAAGACAATTCTGAAGAAGAAGGGGTCATACCAGATCAAATATGATGAAGCATTGTTAAGCAATCATAACTTGTGGGGGATAATAGGTTACTGGAAATAAATAGGGAACCTAAAAACAGAACCACAAGTATATGGGAACATAGTATCTGACAGAACTGACAGCATAACTCAGTGGGAGAAGAACAGATTATTCAGTAAATAATGCTGGAATAACTGGCTATTTATAGGATAAAAATTAGATATTTAAAAAAAATTTTTTTAAGCTTTTATTTATTTATTTGACAGACAGAGGCAGAGTAGGCAGAGAGGCAGGCCGAGAGAGAAAAAGGGAAGCAGGCTCCCTGCTGAGCAGAGAGCCCGATGCGGACCTCAATCCCAGGACCCTGGGATCATGACCCGAGCTGAAGGCAGAGGCTTTAACCCACTGAGCCACCCAGGCGCCCCTAAAAATTAGATTTTTAATTCACGCCTCACATACCCCTCCCTAAAAGAAAATCCAGATTGATTAAAGACCTAAATGGAAAAAAATAGTCTCTAAATTAATCTTTTTAAGATATATATTTTTTTAATTTTTAAAAGAAAGTATATAATCAGAGTAGGAAACCATCTTTTTAAAGCAAGCAACAGGTGCGCCTAGGTGGCTCACTCATTTGAGAAGCTGATGTGATTTCAGCTCAGGTCATGATCTCAGGGTCCTAGGTTCGAGCCCCACATTGGGCTTCGCACTCAGCTGAACTCTGCTGGTGGATTCTCTCTTTGCGTCTGCCTCTTCCCCTGCTCATTCTCATTCTCCCTCTCAAATAAATAAATAAATCTTTAAAAAAAATAACAATTAGCAAAAAGCACAAAGGATAATGGAAAACATGAATAAATTTGACTACATTAGAATTTTAAGAGCATTTGTATTGACAATTCACCATAAACATTT